GTCATAGCTTTGTACTATCATCATCCGACTACACAAAATGAACTAAACCTACAACTGTACTTCCCAACAGTTTGTAGATATTGCATGCAGTTAACTTTTCTTTCATCACCATCAATGCACCCTTAACAATTCTGATGGTTTTCCTATCCTCATCTGTCTTAGGAATGAAATCATTTTTATGTAAAGTGCCCAATGAAATCAAATTCTTCTTCAGATTAGGAATATGTCTGATTCGAATATGTCTGACATCACATAACTTTCTAATTGTGTCATCATACATCTTAATCCTGACTTCTCTAATACTAACAATATTGCAACATCTACCATCACCTAGATAAACTGAGCCAGAATTAGTTGACATGTATGAAGTAAACCACTCCCTGTTAGGTGTTATGTGATAAGAGCATCATGAATCAAGAATCTATGCATCTGTGAACTGAGTTGATGAAACTAAAAACATATCGTCATCACTGTAATCTGAATTGTCACTTTACATCACATTTATAGACTTCGATGATGCATCACCTTTCTCCACAGTCTGCTTCATCAACTTTGGATAATCTCTCTTCATATGACCGAGCTCCTTGCAATTGTAGCAATGAATTGTCTTTTTGCCTTTCGATTTGGATCTGGAATTTCACCTTCTAGAACCCTACTTATCTTCCTTCCTTCCACGGTCATGCTTACTCATAACATATAAACTGTCGTCATGAGAGCTTTCCCCTAGATTCTGCTTCCGCTGGTTGTGAGCCAACAATGCTGCAGTAATCTTATCGACTTTGATAGTTTCTTTCTCATATGTAAGACTAGTCACCAGGTGTTCATATGAAGAAGGCAGTGAACACAACAAAATCATTGTTCAGTCTTCATCCTCAATAGTCACATCAAACCGTGATAAATCTGTTATTATTTGATTGAAGCCATTAACATATTGCGTCAGATCAGAACCTTCTTTATCAGAACCTTCTTGCATCTCCAGCTCATACAACATTTGTTTTAAATACAATTTATTCGTCAGAGATTTAGCCATAAACACAGTTTCCAATTTCTTCCATATCTCCCCTGGAGATTTTAAATTCATCATGTGATACATAACTTCATCTGTCAGGTATAGGCGTACAGTTGCTGTCGCTCGTTGTCTTAATTCTTCTCAATTTTCATCCTCCATGACATCTGGTTTTGCTGCTCGCAAAGCTTTCAAGATTCCCTATTGAGCCAACAGATCATTTACTCTTGTTTGTCACAAACCGAAGTTACCAGTTCCATCGGACTTCACAACCTCGAATTTTGTACCAAAAAATGTCATTTCAAAATAACTCCTGCAAAAAATTATTCTGCAAATCTTTGCTCAGAATCTTTTAAAAAAGAAAATAAAGGATTGAAAAAGTCCCTAAGTTAAGTTTTCCAGAAAACAACAAATTTTTTAAAAAAAAGAAAAGATTGAAATATTTTCTTAGTTAAGCTTCCTTAATTAAGTCTCCATTAATTAAAATATTTTCTTTAATTAATTGAATTTAAAAAAACTTTCATTTTTCCTGCAAATGAATAAAATCAGAACTTCTAATTTCCTTCTCCGCAGCCTCCAACCAAGAAAATCTTAATTAAGTTTTCTTAATTAAGTATTTTTTTAATTAAACATTTTCTTTCTCTAGAGATTCCATGCCTTTCTTCACGTTTAATTAAACCTTTTCTTTCTCTAGAGATTCCATGCCTTTCTTCACGCAGCTCCAGTAAATTCGAAAAATCCTTCCCAGCAAAAGAAATTTGCAGATTCGGAAAATATTCTTGCTCAGAGTTTCTTTCTTCCCCATAAAAGAAAACGTCTCCAGAAAGGAAATTCCCCTTCGCACCCACAGGAGGAATCGTCGCCGAACTGACAACCTTTGCACCTTTCTTCTGCTATCAGCCTTACTCGGCGAACAGCCTGCCGCGAACAGATCGCAGTCTCCGCGAACAGATCCTTCCTCAGCGAACACTCTGGTCGCGCCGAAGAAGCACTGTAGGTTTTCTGTGTCGCGAACTTCTCTCTGCCTTGCCGCAAACCGAAAACCTTCGCCTGCCCGAACTGTCTGAAGCTTCGTGCAGAACCGATCGCGGAAGAACGAAAAACCGCACCTTCTTCTTCCTTTGAACTTCGAACTGCGCTGAATCGGAAGCCTAGCCGCCGAATACCTTGGCCAAAATCTTCTTCGTTTTTGTGCCGCTGAAAATTTTCTTCATGCCCTTGAACCAGTTTCTGATACCACTTGTTGAGAAATTAAAGCAAAAAAAAGCAAATCGACACAAATCCAAAAGAACACGCAGAGATTCTATAAAGATGTCTACGTCTTCGAGAGCAGAACGACGAATTCCTTTCAATATTCTGAAAAAAGATTACAAAATTTAGGATAACACTTAGGGTTACATACAAGCTTATTTATAACTCTAGAAAACGATATATAAAGATGTCTACGTCTTCGAGAGCAGAGCGACGAATTTCTTTCAATATTCTGAAAAGAGATTACAAAATTTAGGATAACACTTAGGGTACATACAAGCTTATTTATAACTCTAGAAAACGATATAGTACAATATGTAATTACCAAATTACCCATGTACCTCATCTCCAACCCACATAATGAAACTCTCTCGATTGGACAGATCCTTCCGCTCCACTCCTCTCCGCTCCAACATCTGTCCCATTTATGGTTTATGGCATATGAGCCATACCTAACAATTATATATTTAAATATAAGAGCCATAAAATGTTGATTACATTTAGAAAAATGTATTACATATGTGAAAATGTATCATGACTCAAATCATTACCTGCCATGTGTACAATCCAAACCTACTATGTATTAAAATATTTAATTTTTTTTACTGAGGATGCCTGGACCGTACACGTAGCAGGTACTAATTGAAATATTTTTCTCTACCTTTAGGTGTTTGGCTACAAGTAGTATTTAGCATTAAAAGAATTTAATCATCTTGTTGGATTTATTAAATCCAAATTTAACATAAATTGAAGGTAAAATTCAGTTAAATCCGATCAGATGGATTTAGTAAATTCGAGGAATAAATCTCGTTGGCGCTACCAAGTACCCTCCTAAGAAAGTGGGTTGTTATGATAAAAGCAATAAATAAATAAATAAATAAAACATTAGCATAATATATTTTAAAATTATTAGATTCCCTCTAATATAAATAAAATACAAAATACAAAATTATTTTTAATATATTATAGTCTTCTTAATACAAATCAAAATATTCTGAAACTCTTCCAGCCTAATTTCTTTATACTGCTCGGCAAATTGTGGGATCTTTTTTTTATTATATTTATCTATAAATTCTCAAAAAGTTTTAACCACTTGAAATTGTTCTCCCTTATAATTTATGTTAAACATTGATGCTTCTATGCTACTCTTATCATAGTTGAATTGAAATTGGAAACTAAAGTATGAATTTATCTTAGTATTATATTTTAAATTATAAATTTAGTTTTAGTGAGTGCTCGCTATCAAAACCCGTTGTTTGCAAATAGCTCATGTTTAATTCGTTAAGTAATTCGTGTTTGATTCGCTCGTTGAACAGACAGCCAAACACGAACAATTTTTTTTGCACTCAATAGACATAATTACTAGTTAAAATTTTATTTGTTCGTGTTCGCCCCTTTTTTTACTCGAAATAATTATATATCTACATGCAAACTTCACATATTTTTGGCATCAGATCAAAGAGCTTTTTAGAAGTAAAATACAACTTTTCCTGCACAGTTTGGACAAAAAAATTATATAAATGTAAATATCAAACTTTAGGTGTTAGAGATTTAAATATATATGAATTATGTGGCATGCAAGTAAATTTCCCAAATAATCACTAAAAATAATTTCATAGTGATGAAATTCAAACATCATTAAAGTTGATGATGATTATAAACAAGCTTAAAATCCTGCTAATATTAGCTAACCAAAAAATTATATTTAATTCAAGTGCTTTAGAAATGAAAATAAAAACAAATTTAAATTTGAACATATCAAATAACTAATATTCTGAATAATTATTAAATAAAAAAAAATATAATAGATGTCTTTTGAGGAAAAAATTATTGCATACGGACACCGCATGCAGAGATGCGGACACCGCATGCAAAGATGCATGCGGTGTCCGATCTATACCGTAGATCAAGGTGATCTACGATGAGTATGTATTTCGATAGGCCCCATTTTAATTTTTTTTATTTTTTTTTAAAATTTAATTGCATCCTCACCGAGATCACCGTGATCTACGGTATAGATCGCGCACCTCATGCATCTCTGCATGCGGTGTTCGTATGCAATAATTTTTTCCTTCAAGGAGCACAATTAATAATAATTCAATGAATAATATAATAATACTTTGCCCCAAAATACTAACTTCTAAAATATGGTAAACGATAAGATTTTTTAATCTAGACGACAAGATGTCAATATTTGCAGAATTAAAAGGGCATTACAATGATTGGTTTAGAAAAAAAAAATCAACATTAAACTTTTCAAAATTAAAATTCAAATGAAAAAATTTTCTTATTTTAAAAAATAAAAATTTAAATAATGCAGAAAATATAGTTAATAAACGAATAGGCAAAATTATTTAAAAATCTAAAATACTATAAAAATAAAGAATATAAATATCTAAAAAACCGAATAGGCAAAATTACTATAAAAATAAAGAATATAAATATCTAAAAAACATGAATAAAAATAATTCAAAATAATTTCCAAAGAATAGATTTTAACACACCAAAAAAAAAAAAAATCAAAATATAAATTCTAAAGAATTAAAATAAAGCTATCAATGATGATAATGAAATATCAATCATCAAAGTAATAATCTGCATTGAAATAGTTTGTAATGAAATCCAAAATACAAAACAAAATCCCTAAAAATACATGAAAATTTAAAAGGTTCAACAAGACAATCATAGAAGAACAATGTTATATAGCGATCATGTCTTGCAACTTGCGTACAAACTAATAATTACAGAAGATAAAGCAGAAGAGTAGCTTCAAACAGCATTTTCCACACGATAATGCAACATAACTTTACAATCACCAAAAAATAAAGTCTGAACGAAACATCGATTAAATAAATCCTTCTGTAAATGCACTCTGTAATATATATAGTAAGATGGGAAGAAAATTGAAGAAAAGGAGATACAGTAGTGGAAAATATGCACAGCAATCCAAAGAAGTTTTCCCAAATGAAATGCAATTAATCAAAAGCTGATTGGTAGTGTGTATTCATAGGCACACAGAGGCAAAGGGAGTCCTTGAAAACATGGATTGATTGAAACTTCCATCAACTTACTGAACTCATGTAAGATCATCTTCGTTTTCTTCCTTTGCTTTCAGAGCACTTTTAGCCCTCAGAAGAAGGGTTGTTTTCCATGGATCCTGTGGTTGATTTACATTGAATCAATACCTCAGCTAAGCTTGCAACTAATTGAAAAATGATTTATAATACAGTTGTGGGAAAGCGTGTAATTTTTTTTTAATTATTATTAAATATTTTAGAACTTTTTTTCTTATGAAAAAACTGGGATAACAGTTCTCTTATAGCCATTGCATTGACAGATTTAAATTGTAAAAAGCTTGTTTTCATCACTTAAATTTCTCAAAAGCAACAAGAAAACTGTATGCAAATATAAGTGTGGCGGCTGTCTTAAAAACAAAACTACGGGGAACAAAAAACAAAACTAAACTAAACTAGCACCATAAAGCCGCTCCCAGAATTCTTAGTTCCACAATAAAACTTCAGAAGTACTATACTTCTTTTTTTTTATTAAAGCAGAATATATTAAGCTGATAATAATTATAAAGAATTAATAGAAAAAAAAAATCTCATAACATAAAAAGAGATGACAAAAGACCAAGGATGTAATGTCCTCTAAATCATGAAAGTCTCAAAATTATTCATTTGATTGTTCAGCTTAAAGTTTCATGAGTACAATTGAGTGCCAATAAATTTTCTTCTGATTCATACCTCTTATAATTTTTTAAAGAATATAATATGAAATCTCTTAGATAACTGATACTCTTAATATTCCGATCTGAATCAAATATCTGCTACAATATGTTAACATTTTTGTGTTCAAAGATAGGATGTAGCTTAAGGTGTGTAGAGTTTCAAAACTATTTCAATGATATCATCAGTAGATGATGAAATGGCCAACACAAAGAAGCTAGTAAAAGTATGAACATTAGACACTATCTCCAAAAGAGAGTGAATATGAATCCATGTTTTGAGAGCAGACATGAACTGATGGAGAATCTTCCACTGACTAGGTATGAAATTAATTATGAGTTTCTAGTGGATGGTCATGTATTTGATATTTAGAGTTCCTTGGCTCGAGATAAGCCTGAAAATAGTAGAGAATTTATGCAAAAAAAAAAAGACGAGAAGTATGACGGGGCGTTTTCAATTTCTACCCTCAATCACAGCTCATACAATGGGTTTCTAGTGGATGGTCATGTGTTTGATATTTAGAGTTCCCCGGCTCGAGATGAGCCTGAAAACAGTAGAGAATTTATGCAAAAAAAAAAAACACGAGAAGTATGACGGGGCGTTTTCAATTTCTACCCTCAATTACAACTCATACAATGGGGACCCAATTCACACCTTATCAAAATGGGACATAATCACATAAGTCCAACTCTATGAAGACACAGACCATAGAAGGCCTAGAGAGATGGGCTATCACATCATTCGCCTGCAAGGATTTCCCAAAAATAGAAGTTCTGGAGAACAATGCTGACTGGTCAAAGTAATGCAAACAAAAATGTTAAAAGGAGATCCAAATAGAAGTGAGAAGGTGTCCCACCGAGTAATCAAAATAGGTAGCAAAAGCATTTGCATTGAAAACCATGGATATAGTACGCGTTGTGATGCCTAATGAGACCATTAAGTCATACCTATGTTTTGCTCCGAGTAATTGTTGTTTTAATAAGATCCACATGGTTGAAATAAGCGCTACCCTTTTTCATTTAGCCCTTCATGCTAGGCTTAACTCTAACTAAGGGTTTACATTTTGCAAGTACAATAGCATAATCAGATCCCGAGCAGATGCACACAGCTGTGTGTATGTATATGAGAACATAAGCCCATGTATGGTTTTTCCTTTGTAAATAAACATACATGCACATATGTACAAGTGCTTGTTCCAAATATGTGTGCCTACAATGGATGTGAGTACATATGAGTATTGATATTGTGCAAATTAAAATGTAACTTTTCATGCTTTTTCAACGTACATTTGAATCTTCAAACTATTTTTGCAAATAAATAGTTGAAGCCATCCAATAAAACCAAGTGCCTCAAAGAAGTAATAAAGCTAATAACCATCCAAAAAAAAGGGGGGGACAACAACTTCCTCTAAGAAAAATAATACTCCATAAACATGGGCGAGACAAGATCCACATACCAGCCTAGTCATGCTATCAAATTCCTTTATAGCTTCAGTGAACTTTATAACATCTTCTTCATCCATTGAGGCAGCTAAATCCTGTAGTAGTAGAAGCCATCAAACGATAATCTAGCAAGAAACTGTGACCATAATTTATGAGATGCACATTTTTGCTAAATAAAGAGCAATCAGGGGCAAAAATTAAATAAACAATTATAATATATTTTGCTAAAGCTCATTGAACTGAAATCATGCACATCCCAGACTTACAGCTAATAGTTTGAATTCACGTGTGCCAGAAAAGGTTGGATCTAGTTCCTGCAATAGCAAAAATACTTTCAAATTTAGTCCCAGAAAATCATGGAGCTTAAATTATAAAAATGGAAACACATTTAACCTGATATCGCTCTAATGCATTATTTATTGCAACAACATCAACTTTGCAAATCTCACAGATACCAGCATTAAGAAGAATTCCCTTGACACCATACTTCAAAAGACTATTATTGATCGAGTGCCTTGCTATCGCTTCAAAGATCTCAATTGCTTTTGGGTACCTGAGATTTTCACATGTATCTCTTAATCTAACAAAAATCTCAGTCAGGAACTTGAAAAAATTATGCAGATAAAATTCAAGCAACTCTACACAAAATTAATTTTGGTAGCTCGGTACAAATTGCAACAACATGGAAAGTTTGCATTTATTAAAGCTCTAGTAAACAATGACCAATCAATTTATGTTTTGTTATATGGCCAATCAACTTACTTTCAATACCAATGCATGTATTTGTTGCATAGTCAATCAATTTACACTCTAAATGTTAAGCATACAAAGTGCAATAAAATAAATAAATCCTTGTATGATAAAAGATCACAGAATTAAATAATCCAATCTAAAGTTATATTCATCTCTACCTATTTCAACTGGGCAAAGTAAGCAACTTTCCGCCACGTCCACATGATGAAAACAGTAAAATATATACATTTAATTTCAATTTCTAAATAACCAGTTTTAATTATATATGTTTCATACTGTTCCAGCTGAGCAGCAAATTGAGCAACTTTCTGCTTGCACTGGTTGGCCGTAGTCGTCACCTCCTCACTCTGAAAAAGATCAGCTGCTCGCTCAAGATAATCCATAGCTTTCTCCAACTGCTGTTCCTGCTCATATATCTCACCAAGTTCCTGAAAATTGAGAGGAATAATAAAATGGAGATATTTATTAGGACTTCAGACTTTAAGCCTGTTATGGAAAACAAAAATAACAAGCTAAAGTATTAAGCATCCTGTAAACGCCCTGAAAAAGACAAATAAAAAATAGTTATGATAGAAAAAGTAAAAAAAAATAACGTTTTGCGTCCATTGGTTTGTTCTACTTTTTGTGTATCATTCTATGAATAGAACGACAAAAAGTATTTTTTAGTTAATATTATATATGCGCACCGCAAACCAGTAGAAAATTGTATCCAAATACACCAAAAATTTTAAGGGCGCATTGCATGCTTAAGAACAAGCATATCATAAACTGAAACATATCCATACTAAATGTTAAGAGTTCCCAACAGGACGTCGTGCTTAGGGCTGTAAACAAGCCGAGCTTGAGCGAGTTCAGACTTGGCTCGTGCTCGGCTCGTTCGAAATTGTTCATGTTTGAAATCAGTTGTGTTCAAAATTGGCTCGTGAATATTGTGTTTGTGTTCGGCTCAAAATTGGCTAGTTAAAATTAATTGAAAAAAATAGATATAAAAACTTAATTCAAACTTGCACCAACTCAGTGCAATAGAAGGCGCGGGACCACATAATCAAACAAGCTATTATGATTTAAACTTATATATAAATATATATAATACTTATTACATAAAAAATATACATAATTTCTTTATTTCAAACTAAAACGAGTCAAACACGAGTGCACAAAGGGTTGTTCGTGTTCGGCTCTTTTATATTCAAGCTTAAAAAATTTATTTGTGTTGGACTCATTTACTTAACGAACAAGCTGAACACAAGCTACTTAATGAGCAAAACCTCAGCAGTTCGCGGACAACGAGCTTTTTTGCAGCCCTAATCACGCTCAAACTCCCTTTAAGCAAGGACCGAAAGAAAAAAAGCTGGTTTTATCAAATAAAGGCTAATCTTTAAAAATATTAAACAAATCTTAACGAGGCATGTTTCACATAACTAAAAAAACATAAGCAAAAATAGTCCGCAAAAAAAATATAAGGCATTACATACATAAACACTTATCCAAATAATATAATGACAATAAGTCAATCGGTTACAAACGTGTTGTAAATAAATAGAAATTGTAAACATCGTATAACAGCACAAAATAATATACTATAGAAAATAATTCATAAGATCTGGAAATCATCAAGGAAACATGCAGAAAGAAAAGCAAAAAATTTAAAATAAAGGGATACGAGTAGAGCTATTTGACAGTCTCATCAAAGGTTTAAGATGTTAATCGCATGAGTAATACATACATAAAAGAACAAAAAATGACTATAGTAAATAAATAAATTATCAAGATGGTTTTGACTCCATATAACAAAAATTCAAAACCAATGCCTCGCAAAGTGACGCAGAGCTTTATGGTTGAACTGGTTGATTCAGCTAAGGGGCAAGTCCAGAAGGGAGGCTGAACCGGCCAACTGCTATTGAGTGGAAAATGTTTATTGTTCGCCGTCGGGCGTTTTTCCTTGTTAGGGTTGTATCTGAGAGCAGGTGGTGCCTTAATTGTATTCTGCTCCGAGGTGGTGACTACCTCTACCTGATTCCCTCACTCAATCCTCCCCCTCTCCTCATTTTCTGCTTCCAACCGCCGACCTCTTCCCTCTCTCCCTGTTTCTAGCTTCCAGTTGCCCGTCTCTCTTCCCCATCCTTGTTTCCTGCTTGTTGCACCACCGCAAACCTTGCCTACACCCTTCCAGCTTGTTACCACCCTCTAGCCTACTTCCTACCAAGTTACATACCCCCTGCCACCCCTGTTTTTAGTCGCGGGTCCTATCCTGCACCACCCTAGGGACAGCCAGTCCCTCCTCTCACTATAGTCCAAGAGATATCCCCTCCAACCCTTGCAGGATATTGGTAGTTTATTGGTGTTTTTTGTTCTTATTCGTGTGTTGATTGCAATCTGTTGTTTGGAGTAATAGCATTTGTTTTTCTATCAAATTATCAGTTAAATTTGAAATCATTTGGTATCAGAGCTAGCTTAACTTTATTCTTATCCTAGGGTTTTCTAACATTAGTCTTACTCTAAGCCCTCCACCAAAAATTTATTTTTTATCCCCAAACCATAGCTAAACTTTGACCTAACCTTAATTTTCCCTTATTGAATTTCAAAATTAGCAATCCTAAATAAATTGATTTTATTGAAATGATTTTATCGAATGACTACAATCAATTGAGAGGGTCTTTGAGTACAAAGAAGTGTCATAAGATAAAGGGGTGAACCTTGCAGCTATCAAATCGAAAATGAGTGTCTCCATTTGGGGGAAAAACTTGCAGAGGCAGAGGAAGAGAGAAGGGAATGATAAGATTACCAAGTAGAAAAAGATGTGGAAGGCTATACAGAGAATATATCTGCCTCCTTATTATCACCAGGATATGTTTCTGAGGCTCCACCAACTGCAATAGAAAAACCTGTAAGTGGAGTTTATGAAACAATTTAAACCGTTGCAAAAGAATTGTGATTTGGTCGAGCAAGTGGAGCACACCATAACTCATTATCTTGGAAGTTTGAAGCATACTATTAGCAATTTGGTGCAACTACAACCTTATTCGTTACTTGGAGATGTCCAGACCTTAATATTGAAGGTGAAAAGGCAGCAAAAACAAAACACGCAACCATCACCAGTTAGGTAGCCATCCACAGTTGGATACACCAACAAAAGCACATCTCAAGAAGTTGAAAAAACTAGTTCAAACAAGGATAGAGCTACCCCATTGAAAAGCTTGAGAAGTGTAGCACTCATACTACAATCCCAGCAGAAAATGCTTCGGATGTCACAAATTTGGGCACATCGCCAACTACCTGATGAGTCGAGTTGTGTCTTTTAAACTAGCAGGGCACCGTGAAGGAGGTTAGCGACAAGGAGGCAGCTGAGACATAGGGTGAAGTATAAGATCTTCTACCATATGAAGGTGAGATGCTCGTGATTTGACGGGTCTTACGAACCTCGTAGTGGCTTTGTCACAATATACTCTACACACATTGCTCTGTGAATGGGAAGGTGTGCAACCTCATCATCGATGAAGCGAACAGTAAGAACGTGATATCTATGTAGATGATGGAGAAGTTGGGCCTCATGACTCAGAAGGACTCATACTCGTATTTTCTGATGTGGCTGAAGAAAAGGAATAGGGTCAACATTGACCGGAGATGCCTAATGGAGTTCTAAATTGGAAGCCAACTAAAGGATCGAGTGTGGTGTGAAGTGGTACCATGGATGCTTGTCATATGTTATTAGGGCAATCGTGGCAGTTTCACCACAGAACTTAACACAACGGATTTAAAAACACCTACTTCACCAAGGATAGGAAGAGCATCATCCTCTCCCTTTGATGGAGCCCTAGATCATAAGTGTCCTTGCCCGTAGAACAACATTGGTGGGACCAGTTTTGGTGACAGATGATAGAACTGAAACACCGGCTCCAAACAAGGGGCAATCGCGACAACGAGTATTTCAAGACATCACAATCGATAGCTCACCACCATGGCAACTACTGCGTGGGGAGGTTTAGGCTACCCTCACTTCAGCTCTAGTTGAGCCAACCTTAGATTATTTTGAGAAGATTCAACAGAATGTGTGATGTGCAGTCCCAGACAATGGGACCGAGATTGATGTTTGCTCGCAAGTGAGGGAAAGTCCTCAGGTGCTTTGGGAGACGGCGCATTCGTCTGTATCTAGTTGCTACTAGGGTCGTAGTTGAAGATCTTTCAACCCCAGGAGTTACAACAACTTTGTCATTGCCAACGTACCGACTGAGGCTTTGAAGAATAAAGTCGAAACTCCACCAACCCCGGGAGACTAACACAAGGCTTTTATGGTTGAATCGGTCGGTTCAGCCAAGGGACCGATCTAGCAGGGAGATTGGACCGGCCGGTTGCTATCGAATGATAAATACCACCCCTTCCGCCCTCCTCCTACCTATCTTATTATAAATACATTTATTATTTTATGGTTTGATTTTGATGTTTATTGATTACAGATTCTCGGTCGTCGGGTATTTTCCCTTGTTAGGGTTGTATCCAAGAACATGTGGTGCTCCAACTGTATCCTGCTTTGAGGTGGTGACTACCTCTACCAAATTTCCTCATGCAACCCTCCCCTTTCCTTGTTTTCTGCTTACAACCGCCAGTCACTTCCCCTCCTTGTTTCTTGCTTCCAGCAACTAGTCACTTTTCCCCATCCCCGTTTCCTTCTTGTTGCACTGCCGCAAACCCACCTGCGCCCTTATAGCTTGATGCCGCCAACTCCCCTACATTCTACCGAGCCGCATACCCCCTGACACCCCTCCTTTGGGCCACAAGTCCTTTCCTGCACCAACCTCAAGATAGCCAACCCCTCCTCTCACCATTATCCAAGACATATCCCCTCCTACCCTAGAGGGATATTGGTAGTTTGTTAGTGTTTTCTATTCTTGTTCGAGTCTTGATTGTAATTGGCTGTTTGGAGTAAAAGCAGTTGTTTTTCAATAGATTATTGGTTAACTCCAGTATCACAAAGTGAAAAAGGAAAGAATTAGAAAGACTTCAGCAAATCAATTATGCCTACAATAGTGCTAACGAGAACCACCAGAGACATGAGGCGCTCGCCGTTATAAACTAAATTACCAAAGAGAGCATAACACTGAAATAGTTACACGTATTCAAGCATGAGTTTAAATCTCAAGAAAAGCTAGTCTCAGGAACCCAAACATGAGCTAACTGCTTGCCAGGAAATCGCAATCTCAGGCTGAATTACCATACAGAGCAATGTTATTTCATTTAAGTTTGCCCATATTACCATGATCCAAAAGACAAAGTCTATGGATTATGAACCGGAATAGAAGAGATTGGCAAATATTGTAAAAAATTTGATACCTAAAATTGATGATAAATGATCCTAAAAATTATTGAACCAAGCATGCAGTAATTTTAATGATGTTAAAGAGAATAGAAATTTTGATCTTGCACTTCAACG